GCATTACCCTGTCTCACGTTGACACTGAGTATGAAAACCTGGGCTCCAGAGGGTGAGAGAAAGTTCAGACTTCATGCTAAATCAGTTTTGGGCTTCACTCCCAGGATTTGCCATCCGTGCCAATTTCCATAGGACATAAACTCTAAGATAATGTTAACAGAAAGCAAACCACAGCCACCACACTCATTTTCCTTTGGCAGGGGGATCAGTTTAAATCCCCAGAGCAGTCAGTGCTGTATCCTTCCAGACAGCACTCTCCTCCCTAATCCAATCAGCACCATGACCAGAAGCTGCTAACCACGCTGTGGATTTCCACATTTCTGCCCTAATTGCTGGCCTGCAGGAACTTGAGGCACGAGGCAATGGCTGGCACAGTCAGGTGGGTGAACATCTGCAGCTCCTCTGCTCCAGGCTCTGCTGCAAAGCACTGCTGGGAGAGGCTGCCCCAGCAAAACCCAGAGCTTCACCTGCAGTTGGCATGCTCCTGGGAAACAAAACGAAGGTAGAGGTGGGAGGTGGTGCCCTTGTCACATTAGTTGTGACCCAAGCTTCCTCTTTGACCTCTGTGTTGTGGGTAGGAAAGGCACTGGCTTTAGGATGTGACCACCCCGTGTAATTGTACCAGAAAAGCGTGGCAAGCAGGACCAGGGAAGAGATTGTGTCCCTGTACTCAGCACTGGTGAGGCTGCACCTCAAATCCTGTGTTCAGTTTTGGGCTTCTCAATAGAAGAAAGACTGAGGTGCTGGACCATGCCCAGTGAAGGGCAACAGAGCTGGGGAAGGCCCTGGATCACAAGTCTTGTCAGGAATGCCCAAGGTAACTGGGGTTGTTAGGCTAGAGAGAAAGCTCAGGAGGGACCTTATCACTCTCTACAGGTATCTGAAAGGAGGTTGTAGTGAGGTGGGGATTGGTCTCTTCTCCCAGGTAACAAGTGACAGAACAAGAAGAGTTCTTGGCCTTGAGTTGTGCCAGGGGAGCTTTACATTGGATATTAGTAAAAATTTCATGATGAAGAGGGTGGTCAGGCAGTGGAACAGGCTCCCCAGAGAAGTAGTGGACCACTTTAATACCTGGAGGTATTTAAAAGATATGTAGATGTGGCACTTAGTGACACAGTTTAGAGGTGGACCGAGCAGTGCTAGGCTATCATTTGGACTTGATGATCCTAAAGATCATTTCCAACCTAAATGATTCTATGACTGTGAATTTAAATAAGCCAGGAATTTAAATAAGACAAACAAACATGAAGTTGGTTGAATGACATCACTGAGGTGTATCTTAGTGGTTTTACTCCTGTAATGTACAGTCCCAATCAAAATAATCCTGACTAAAACTGTCTGGTCTCTGTTTTAGGTTGCATTAAGGCGTGCAGGAGAGATTGCATGATCCCCTGCATATGGCAAGCCCTCTGTGTCAGAGGTAACTGCAGACAGAGGTTGTGGCTCTCCCCATGTGTCAGGTTTACCTCATGCAGGGACAGACAGCAGGTTTGCCTCCCTGTGAAGGAATGTCCAGCAGCTGACTGACCTGGTGCCCTGGTGTATCCCACAGGTCAGGGACATGCTGTGCAGGCAATGTTTTTTTCTGGATTATATTTACCTTCTGCTCACTTTAAGCCATGTTTTGCTTTTTTGTAAATAGCACACTTTAAAAGGAAACTGAGGCTCCTTTTTTTTCTGTAACATACCTTTTCCAACAGCTGAAATAAGTGCCTCCAGCTATGGTTTTCATATCCATTTCTCTATCCTTTCCTTCCCACCAATGCTTGTTACAACTATTATCTCCTGGATGAACCTTAGGCTGTGATCAACACTGCTTTGGTGAAAAGTGGTCAGGTCTCCCCAACATACCTCCAGCAGAGATGCCAAGGTCATGATGGACATAAATACTGTTATTTACTGTGCTCAGCCGTGGACAGAATCCAAACAAATGTCTCTGGTGGCTTGCTGTCAGAAAGGCTTTGGAAAGTCCTTGAGGCACTTCTGCAGCACTGCACATGAAAGAGCTGAAGGGAAAGGATTTCTCTGTGCTAGAGTTTTCCAACACAGAGCAGCATTGTTTCATATCTTAGATGAGCACCAGACAAGTGATGACTTCTGAAGTTTAACCTAATTTGTTAAGTGGGTAAGCCTATTGTTTAGAATAAATACTAAAACAATCAGTGGAAGTAGCCAGTCTCCCCAAAGGATATTATTAGAGAATGAATGAATTATTAAAGGGAGTATGTTTGTTCTGGATCCCACTAAAACCAAGCTCTCACTGACATCCTTCCTTTAATCCAAAAAAAGTAATTGCTAAGGGCAAGTCAAAGATTTAGAGTAAAAACTGCAGATATTTTAAGTAAAAAATAAAAAAATCAAACTTGTGTATGTAATTAGCAACATCTGCAAAGAGAAAGTTTATATTTATTTCCATGATGCAGAAATAAAGATTTATTTTTGCCAAAATGCTGCTATTTCTTTGTCTTTCTTTCCTCCTTTCTTTGTTAGCTAGCTTTATGGTATGGTTCCTTGTGGTTTGTCTGGGATATTGGGAAGCATGTTCAATTAAGCCAATGAGAGGAGTACTGTGAAACAGATGTGGACAGACCCCGGCATAACTGGGGGAGCGAGCTGCTGGAAGCACAGAGCAGAAAAGGCCAAGTGTGCTCTTGTTTTCTGATCTCTGGCATGGGACTGGAAGTTGGCTGATAGTGGGTGTTTTGAACAGCCCTGTGGCTTTGTGGTCATGCAGTGCAGTATCATTTGGGAGAGCAGCTGGATTCCTGATGTGGAATTATTGTTTCCTGGCTGAGATGTGCTGGGAAGCAGTGAGCTATGCTCCAAAACTCAAAGGGCAACCTGCCTTGCATGGATAATCTGGAGAGTGAACTGATAGGAGACAGCTTCACTCTTCATGCAGGTGTTTGGCAACTGCAGGAAACAGAGACTCAATGTGTGGTGAAATGCAACCAAGAGCTGAGGGGTGAATGAAGATCAGGAGCCTCAGACTGATGTTGGAATAGCTCCAGGTCAGTAGAATGATTGTCTTGGCTTCCAGTCTCATCTGCAGTTCCCAATAGCTGTAAAAAATCAGCCTGGAATATGAAATTAATAAATACCAATGTTACATAATTCATGTGTTAAGAAGTTTGCAACCAGATTTTGTGCAGTCCTTAAACTCTTTCTCCAGGCAGCAACTGACAGAACGAGAGGACAGAGTCTTAAGCTGTGCCAAGGGATACATAGGTTGGATATTCAGAAAAAGTTTTTTGTGGAAAGAGAGATAAATTACTGCAATTGTCTGCCCGGGGAGGTGGTGGAGTCACCATCCCTGGATGTGTTAAAAAAATATTGGATGTGGCACTCAGTGCCATGGTTTAGCTGAGGTGTTAGGGCTGGGTTGCATTCGATAATCTCGAAGGTATCTTCCAACCTATTGATTCTGGAATTCTGTAAATATTTTTTACGTACTGAAACTATGAAAATACAGTATTCTTACATAAAGCTGTATGAAACATTCCAAAGATATATTCAAGTTTTCTTCGATTCAAAATCTACTTTAAGTATACATTTCTCTAAATTGTATACCCTGAACTTACTACAATGGCTTCAGAGAAATAGAAGCAATTAGAATTTCATGTGAGCCCCCTCACATATCCAGCAGGAAACAGCATCCTGACCAGTCAAACATCATTTTAAAATCAAAGCCAATTGTACTGATTAAAATAGAAGGCCAGTTTTTAACAAGGCCAAATGAGTGTGCTTCCTTTGTTGGCACTCACTCTACATTAGCACTGGGAAAGGTTTATTTATTGTCCTTTGCTCCTCTACTTTTTGCAAGAGTTAATGCAATGGAAGAGGATCCTGCTTCCCCTAAGGAAGAACATGCAAGACAGATTACCCCTCTCTCCACAGCACACCCCAGAGAAGTCAACACTGAGTTGAAATCAATGCTTGCACAGGCAATGTCTATTTTGTGTCAGCTGTGAACACCAGGCAATAAAGACCCTTTTATTTACTGCCACTTACTTCTACAAAACAGAAATTTGTGCTATTAAAAGCCCCTTTTTTTCTCTGCCAGCATAAATGAAAGTGTCTCCCCAGCTATTTTCCATACACCATGGGCTTGTGCCTGCCCAGTTTGACCCTCACCAGCCAGAATGAATGTAGTTCTTCATTCTGCACATACCACTGGCAGCACATTCCATGTTTGGAGCAGGCTTCATAAGCTGAGCATTGTGGCTGCCCTTGGGTTGGGTGTAGTGGTGGTATCAGCTGCATCACTCCCCGTCTTGTTCCCTGGCAATTCAGCAGCTAGCTGGGAGAATTTGGAGCTTCAAAACACAGCTGAGGTCACCAAGAGTTGGTTTGAAGTTAGTTAAAACCATCGTCTTTAAATAAATGCAGCTAAAATCTTGGAGAGGAAGGTGAGAGAGGTTGCTTGCTCACTCTATCAAGAAGTCCCCCTCAATGAACTGGACTGGTGTGGACCCTACTTTTTTCACACTTTTATCATTCAGAACTGGATAATTTATTAATAACATATTGGTCTACTGTAATGCCTATGACATGCCTAAGGAGGACTACAAGTTTTCTTGTATTAAAGATCAACAGGTGTAGTGGTTTATTTGGAGTCCAAGGCAGATCTTGGGCCTTAATTTGCAGTTCCAATCTAAGTGATTTATGGAAGATCACTTCTATTCAGCATGACAGTATGGTGGCAAGATAATTGATCCCACCTTGTTTCAGGATATTTTCAACTTTTACTGCATTTTTGCTTGTATGTTTCCCTCAACCAGAAACTAGAGAAGAAGGAGTTAGCTTTTTTATTTATGGTACATATGAGTAACCTAATTAATTAAGTCGGATCTGTGGCAATAGCAGCAGTGAGATATTCACATCTACTTCATTGGGTGAAAGAAGGAGAAAGAAATGGACAGGGAAACAATGTTAATTTTTAATAAATTAATAAAAACTTAATAGAAAGTTAAAATTTTTAGTAAAAAGTTAAACTTCTTAGTGTAAACCATGCAAGCATTCTTGTTACTCAGACTATTTTTGGAAGCCTTGACTGCTGCCGAAGTCTTGGAGGCACAGTAGGCAATCTAAGATGAAACTCTTTTACCACATGTGGGCCTGCAGGCATTAAATCCCAATTTCATGAGCAACAGTTCAGGTGGAAAGCCACAAATCATTTCGCATGTTAGATTGTTCAGTGGCTGGACAAGAAGTGTTTATTTAACACATTAGGGTTACAAAGGCTGTGAAAATAAGCAGAGTCACAATAAAAAATTTAAACATTCATTTTGACACAACGACAACTATGAACATTAAAGATGTTCTAAAATCTAAATCTAAGAAGTTGTATGGTCAGCAAGAATGAACTACTGTTCTGTTACTTCCTAGTTTATGGAATTGCTTCCTATTTAAAATCACTGCTAACTTGAGAATGTAGAAGATGGGTTGATTTCTATTGTATTTGACTACCCAAACAAAATCCTAGTGTAGTTAAACTTTCAATTCAGCCAGTGGTACACATGATTAAGTTTTTTTGGTAGTAGAACAGCAAAATTAACATACACTGAAGATAATATTTGGGAAAAAAAGGAAAGATTTAAGGATTACAAAGTGTGTACCTACTCATCTATCAGGTTTGCACACAGATATATTTAGTAATAAATACTCAGAGAATTAAAGAAATAGCATTAAACACTCAGAGGGTCTATGCTGCCTCTGTGCTATACTCAAATTGTCCACCAAGTTTTCTTTTCAAGGACCTGTGCCTAAGAAGTGAATGAGAATCCAAATGCATGCTTCACAGAGCAGGCATCTGCATTTTTAATTTAACAAAGACTGCAATAAAATCAAGGTTTTCTTCCTGAAAAAGAGCTGGTCCAGGAATAATTAGCCCAAATCTATTTAGCAGCTTGCAGATTGTCTAATATAATGTAATGCAAATGGGGAAAACCAGAACTATCTGATTAGGATTTGTCAGTTTGCTACCTGTATTTTGTCTTAAAAAGACTTTGCTTAGAAAGTTGCCAGACATTTGTTTTTATTTATTCAATTTTTTTGGTTAAAATTCTGCACTATTTCCTTTGAGCTCATTACATACATTTAGCTTAGCATTTAGGCTTTTAAAATTACTTTGCAAATAAAAAGGTTTGATGGGCATTTGCATCATTGAAATTAATCTATACTTTTTTAGGCAAAAGTGTTTGAATTTGTGTGGGGAATTTTGGTTTGTTGCTAGACCAATATATCTAGATCTGTTCTAGTTTGGTTTAATAAACAGTACTTGGAAGAATCCAAATGTATTCCTAAAATATGCTTTAATATAACTTTATCCCAAATACTTTGATGTTCCAGTATGTCTACCTTTGCAATTTGTAATTGTTCAATGCAAGTTTTTTCCTATTTTACCAATGTATCCACATGTGACAATTTTGCAACTGTTTTCCATCTCTGTCATGTATTCCCACAAAGGCTGAATACTGCACAAGTTTATTTTTCCACCCTCTGCTCCCTCTTCCACCTGAAAGTGTTAAGGTGCAGAGAGGAACAGGAAGAGAAACAAGAGGTAGTGTTCACATAATGGCTGAGCAAAGCAGGTCTCCTCAGTCTGTAAGGGGACATTTGAAATAAAATGTGCATCCAGTAAATCATGAGAGGCACAAAGAGGGTGGATAGCAATTGCTTGTTCTGTTTTCAGTGTAGGTACTACAGAGTAACCAGTAAAGCTAATAAGAAGTGAAGTTTAAAAAAAAAGGAGGAGCTTCTTCATCTAACTGACAGGTAGTCTATGAATCTCTGTCTCACAGTTCTGTGAATGCTTGAAATGGAGAGGGAGCCAAAGGGGGACTGCAGGGATTGCCAGACATCACAACTGATTCATGTGGCTGCAGATTGAGATTGCCATTGCTCAGCTCCCTCATCTTTCCTAGAAATCTGCCTCTGACCAGTGTCAGAGAAAGAACTCTGGATTAGCCTGTCCTTTAGTTTTATCCAGTTCCTACAGCACCAGCTGATCTGTGGACCCATCAGTAAGTCTCATATTATTGTCAGTACTAGTGGCTTAAAACATGATTGTAGCATATTCTTAAATCTTCATGTTTTCCATTTTTTCCTTATCTATACTGGGAGATTGTAACAGGTACAACATACTGTAAAATGAATCAGTCAATGATGCAAACTACAAAAACATATTTACAATAACTGTCTTGAGCTTGACTTCTATCAAGTTCATAATATTCAAAAACTAAGTTTGTACTGCATTAACGACCAAAACTTAACTGTACCCAATTTCTTGGAGTCATGTTTCTTTGCTCTTAATTTTATGGCTGTTTTCTTAAAGACAACAGTTTCTATGTTCTCTTTAATACATTGAGCTTAGATAGTAAGCATCTATCATACTGTAGTTCATTTTAAATTTAAGAGCCAAAAGATTTGGCAGAAAAAGTTTTCATTTTTGTCAACACAAGCACATGCTTCTGTTTTATGTAAATAATGCTGAAATGAAAGTCCACTGCAATTACAGCCCATTTTTTCATTTCCACACACTTACCATTTGTAAAGTCTCCAAAGAGTCAAGTTGCATGGAGATTGTTTTTTTTTCCGTTAGTGCTCAACAATTGTATTTGATCTTTGAGCAGTGAGAAGACCAGATATCAGCTAACATTTTAAAATCAACTATATAAAAAATGAAAAGGCCTGGAATCAGAAATAAACACCACTTAATTATCACACATGTAAGTCTCCTTTTTCCCCTTTCTACATGTTACAATCTCTTCTCAACATATGTGTAGAGGCTGTATAGTCTATGTGTGGATAAATCACTAGGCTCAGACTTCTAAGACCCATATTCTACCATGGATTTTGTTACATGCGCAAGGGAAAATCCATCCCATCTTCTTGAACAAACTTTTTGCCAGAAAAGTGTAATGGTAAGAGAGAGCCAGATAAAGGGTATTTATTTATCATTATATGCATTATTTTATGAAAAGAATGAATTGCACCCTTTAATTTTCCAGTAGTTTCTGACAAGGCTTTCAATTAAATAATTTTACTTGTCTTTTCACCCGTAATTTTCTCGTTCTGGTTTAAATTGGATTCACCTTCCAGATAGCTGAGTACTTTGAGTGTACCAGTTATCACAAATCAGGTGTAAATGTGGGAGGGTACATCCACAGAAAGAAAACAAAAAAGAAAACCTGAGGGTTCCCTAAGATGTTGTTTTCAAAAGGGGAGCTTTTTGTGCTTAGCATTTTTCTTCTACCTACTCTGTATCTCCTGACACAAACCAGAAAAAACCCCAGCCCACAAAAATTAGGTGTATATAGTTTGCACTCTTGGTGGTAGATTAAATCCAGAAAGGCTCAGTTATGTTTCACTACACACAGCACAGGAGATGCTCGGGCAGACCACATAGTTCAACTAATCCTCCAGCTGCTGACCCACAGCAAATGCACAGCCCTTGTGTGCATCAGAAGAATCGCTGTTGTTACAGTGGAGAGCCTTGGACAGAGCTGTGACAGAGATCCAGAGAGATCCTGCAGGCTGCCTGGGGTCAGTTCAGCCCCGTGAGCATAGAAGAAAATCCCTGTTTCTGTGCTGCAGTACGATGCTCTCCTAGGATGTGAGCAGGGGCAGGAGTCACACAGCCCCTCTCCTGTCATGGAGAGAGGGTGTGTGACAGGGCAGCTGCTCCATGTGCTCCAGGCAGTGAACTGCTTAACAACACTTTTCTGCTAGAGAGGCTTTCTCCTCAACAAAATATTCAGAAGGCATTTCTGTGACTTCCCAGAGGCAAGGAACTGAACAGCCAAGAGGTGCACTGTCTCTGGGTGGCAAATTGAATAGGACAAGAAAACTCTGTGAGTTGAGGACAGAGAGGGCAAAAGGGGGAAAAGACATACATGGTAAGACTGCAGGGCTTATGGACCTATTCTCAAAAGAGATGACTTCAATTTGCACAATAAAAAATGTAGGCACAGACTAAATTCAACCCAAACCACTTACAAATCCATAGGATGTCTGTGTTCTCCAGGGGCACCATTTTATGCCTCTCTGAATTGGATCCTGAAGGTCACAGGCAAAATTATTCTTGGCTTTAGCTATAAGATCAGTATGTGCTCTGGCTCTTTTCTTCTTAACCATTTCTGTGTAAGTGGAACAGAGTCTAATCAAGTTTCTTTTTTCAACATGTTTTAATTTTCTTGGTACTACTAAGAAAGAACTACAGACGCTGTAAAGCATATTGTAGCAAGACAGAGTACTGAAAGAATATGCAGAAGAAAAATAACTGCTCTGAAGTGCTATTTAAGAAAATAGATGTGTTTTCTTTCACCCTGACAAACTTGAACACACCCCTATCACACCCCTGTATATATTTTGGTGGTTTTTTTGAATAGATCACTAAGGAGATCAAGGAAATTATCTGTTGTGATATGAATCTCCATCGGTTGCCAGCCCCCTTTGTGAGCTTGTCTTTCATATTACAAGACATTTAGTGGAGTATTTTGCCAGCTTTTAAGAATGACCATAAGAGGCCTCAGACTCTCAGCTTTCATAGCTATATTCCAAAATTAGAGTGTTCTCACAAATTGGCGAATTTCCAATTTCCAAAACAAAGCATAGCAAAATCCAGCACTGTTTTAGCACTTGTCCCGAACATCCAATGTTAAGTGCCTCTGCTGGTGTTCTCCAGCTACCCACAAGAGTTACCTGGACTATGGTAAAGAAATTACTTACAGTTGGAACTGTAATTTACTTACCAGGAAATTTAACAAGGGAACAAAAAGGTCATATTTAAGAAGAAAAACATCACAGGACCCTTATGAATATGCTTTAAACTATTACAGAACACAGATTATTTTGATACTTGTTTTTCCATTGTTTATTCTGTAATAATTTTCCTGAAGACGCAGCGAAGATTTTGAAGAAATTAGTGTGGATCTCCTTATTAAGTACTTTTTTAACTGGGGGCAAAGCTCTTGTTTTAATTTTGGATGAGAGGATAGTCCTTGTAAGGAACTGTCTTGAGGCTTCAAACCTGACAAGGTTTGGCTTCAAGCAAGAGGAGCCAAGGGAATGGAGGCGTGCAGAGGCAGGCGTAGCGTGGCAGAGCTCTCTGAAGGGGCGGCAGCGCATGGAATTGAACCAGCAGAATGCAGCAGAAAGCGGTGGCGCTGCACAGTGAGGATGATCCAGCTTTTTTAAGGGTTGATCCTTCATTGTTTTTCTTGGCTTGGCCTCAGGAACAGGAAACCCTGGCTGCAGGAGGGCCATCATGTCTTAGTGCTGGGAGGCCATGTGGTGCTGGGTACAGGAACATCGTCTGCCATCTTGTCTTGGAAACAGCCCTGTGTCACTGCTGAGCCACAGGAACATCTGAACATCCACCATCCTGTCTTTGCCTCAGAAATAAACAAACATCACTGCTGAGCTGCAGGTACATCCCCCTGCCATCTTGTCTTTGTCTCAGTGGCCATGCAGAGCTAATTCAAGGTGGTGAATGCCTTCTGTGTGTAAAGCACCTTCTCTTTCTGTACACTTTTGTTATTAGCATTGCTGTTGTCACTGTGTTTCTTAATCCATTGCTGTTTGCTTTCAGTAAATTGTTATCTCAACCCACAGTCTCTCCTTTGTCCCTCCCTCACCAGAGGGGGACAGGGGGAAGGGAAGCGGCCTATTTGGAGTTTGATTCCCAGCTGCTGTTAAACCATCACAGCAGTCTACATCCATCTTCCGGGTTAATAATGAAGATGTTGAGCAGTATTGGATGCAGTAGGGACATCTTGTTTGGTTACTTTATCACCTTTGGAAGCAGCTTAAAATTTCAAAGGTGAAAATGACACTAAACCATCTCTGCCCATATACTTTGCCCTCCTCCTTCTTCACCAGGGTTTCTGCAGGCCATCAGTTCCCAGCCCTGCTATTTTTTTGAGAATCTAATTACTAGCTGATGGTCACTGGCACATTAATAGACTGTGGTAGACTCAAATTTCCATCACAAATACCTAAAAATCCAGATTCTATATGTCATGTTTGTCTCCAACATTCTCCACAGACTCCTGACAACTGCCAGAATAGAACAGAAAGCTCACATTTTGAGACATCCCAGTGGCAGCATTTTATCTGGTTATTCATTTTGCTGTACAGTGTATTGCATTTCATATTTCAATGACAAAGGAGGAATTCACAAAGGTTCACTTCAATGAGAATGTGCGTCAGTGATAGGGAGGTTTTGGGGGGCGACTCAGAGCAGGAGCTTAACTTTAGACACTCTAAATAATAGCTCTGAAGGAACTCTTTTCTTTTCAGTGCCTGTAAAGGAAGTGCAGAGAGATTAGCCTCAATCAACACTCCTCTAAATGTCAATGCAAAAGATTGCATATGACGGCAGTTAGGAAATCAGATAGTTTAATGCAGCCATTAATTAAACACAAACATTAAGGCAGTCTCACCATACATTTTCGTAATGCAACTGAACTAGAATTTCAGTGTTTGAAAAGATTTTTGTAATTAATTGCATCTGTAGAAGCAACAAAATACTAAGTGTCTGAAAAATTACCCCTTGATGCTCCTGGTACATTTAAGTGAGCAAAAATATACCCTGTCTTTTCATAAATGCACTTACAGTACAAAAAGAAATGGTTTGAAGAACTGTCATTCAAAACATGGAATATAACTGTTGCAGCATATAAATAAAGCAGAATGAAAAGTTTGGTAAAATGTTTGTGCACGCTGTAAGATTTAATGTTTCCTTAAAAACACCATTTACAAAAGTATACTAAATAAATAAATATACATATACTAAATATATAAATATACATATACTAAAAAATGCACTTAACCTTTGGACTGTGTGTCTGAGCATTTCCTGGTATAGGTTCATGGTAGCAGCATGAGGAACCATAAATCTGTGGAAGACACCACAGTAAATGTGGGAATCGATGTTCCTGGACTCCATCAGGTTAGGGGGGAACAGACAAATGCTTTTGGCCAAGGAGCAGGAGTAAAGAAAAAAAGACATCCCTATGTTGCAAACACATATTGCTTTAAAAGAAACGTATTATCAACAGTCAACAAAGGAATACATTGGGTAAAATTAACTTCTAAATTCCAGGCTGGGGTAGTATTTACATTTTATATCAACAAGGAGCCAGCAGCAATTTTGTAGGATTTAAACTAACAAAAAGACCTTTTCATGTGCAAAGTATAAAGGTCTTTCCTCTAGCAGCTACTAAAAATCCCAAGATAGGCACAAAGGTTTTTCTGAAGAGTCTCATCCCTACCAGATGAATGAATACTTGTAATGTTTATGTGTGTGAGGGATGTTGAGAGATCTGTACTCCTGACAACATCAAGAGAATTTTCTGCAGTTGAAACACTTACCAGCATAGACACCATTAAATCCATCTTTTACACCACATTATGGATGCAAACACAGAAAATTATTATATGCCCAGGATTGTGCATCTTAACTCTGATATTCTCCTGTAAAGTATTATTTCTGAAATATTAACAAGCACCCAGATTACATTCATTGTTAGCATTAATTTCTTCTCTTATTTGCTACTGTTGAATGTTTTTATTAAAGTGTGTATGTCTTTATCTGCATAGAAAGTGCAATAAGATGCATTACAATGTAATGTAAATATGGAACTGCAATACAACTCAGGTAGAAATCATAGTATTTTTCCATCATTTTTTTCATGAGTAATTGTTGGAATAGCACCTTATTTGACATAGAAGAATGAAATGCTACTTTAATGGTTTTTGCTGAAAAGAACAAGATCTCTGGTATTAAAAGAATTCAATATGGAAAGATGAGGTATTATGCATTCCACTGCATATAAAACATTTTCTCATTAACACTATTTTATTGAGAGGCCATCAGAAACTTAGTAAGTGCATTATCATTTTGCTAGAATTTCCTTTATTATCAGTCAATATATTTTCTCTCTATGTCTCTCTCTCTCTCTCTCACTTTTCTCCTCCTAGGGCTCTAGGATCTCTTAGTGGTAATTACTAATACGTTATCAGCATTTTGGCCCCTGGCATATAAACATGTGTTAGATACGCAGGTAGTGAGCCATATAAACAGCATTAATTTTCAGGGGAGGAATTTCAGGGCACATATTCGTGGCAGCTGAGTTATGGTAGATTCAGTGTTATGTCTGGGCTCTGAGCCAGCCTTAAAATCCTTCCCATCCTACCAACCATCGAGGGCACACAGTCGCTGATGGGGGTGGCAGCTCCAGGCTGTGTAAGAAAGCTGAGATCCAAGGAAAGCCAAATATATGGAAGGCAGCTCTGAGGCAGCTTGGCAGCAAGTCAGAATCTAAGTAGTAATGCTTGTATGAAATATATTCTGCCTTCCCCACTTAATAGTAATAAAGTTTGATTGAAGTCATGTTCAAATTGCACTCTGTCTGACGCCAGGTATTTAATATTAAGCAGTTTGGGGAGTTTTGCTATCTGAAGCAAAAGGGATTTAGATTTATTTCAGACTTCCACAGTAGAAACTTGCTCAATGGCCTGGAGCCATTGAGTTGGAAAAAAAAAAAAAAGGAAAGAAAAGAAAAAGGCTACTGGAGATCTGATCATCTTCCTTTTGGCAGAAAAAACTCATGATTCCCTTGCATGCTTTTCAAAATTGCTCTGCCATAAGAGGAATTAACCTATGCTGCAGCACCAGGAAATCCCCATTTTGCCTTGAAACTGCTGCAGGGTCAAAAATGATGATATTATTTCTTTCTGCAAGCACAGAGCTCATAACTTCTGTGGTGATAAACTCCCATCTCTCTTCCGCTCCCCCTCTTTTGCTGAGACACTTCCTTCCCCTTGTGTTTGCAAAATTAAGTTTGCTGCAAACAAGAAACTCAAAACACGGGAAGCAAAAGAAAAGAACCACAAGTTACATATTGTTTTTCCTTTGTTATTTAGAAAGCCTCCTGCTCCTGTGGCAATCCAATTATATTTGAAGCCTGGCTCATGACTTTTGAATACTCTCTGGCACAACAGATATCCTTGGGGACCCAGAGCAGGCTCTGATCTTCCATAAACCTGTATTAGGTTAATACATAATTCACCATTTAGAAGACAAATAGAGGGACAGCCTTTTCAACACAAATTCTTTGTTTACTTTTAGGTGATAGGAAATACAGAGCCTGTATTTGAACTCTGATTAAAAATTTTATTAGCTCAACATTTCATATCACTAGCTAACAGCACACATGCAAGTATGTGTTGTATTCATTTGGATTTGCATTTGCTTGGGTGGTTTTACCTATAATGCAGCCATAGACACTTACAGGATAAGAATTGTCAATAAAGTAATCCATATACTGAGGAGATAAATCCCGACCTGGAGCATAAACAAAGAATTTAAAATTCAGAACCATTGGCATAAAAGGTTTTGAAATGTGCCTACAGGGTAAGTGTCCTTTGAAGCTAAGAGCAGGTAGCAAGAGGAAATGAGGAGACATCCTTCCACACTGAGCTGTGGCCTGGGAAAGCAGGTGACTGGATCAAAGTGTGCAAATATGTTCCCTCCTCCTGAGCACCCTTAGCTACACCCTTGCAGAAACACCTTGGGGTTGTTTCAGGCTCTCTGCTTGTTGAGGAGAAAGTTTTACTCTTCCACCCCACCACCTTCTGTGTTTTTAAACTATTTCCATTGTTATATCTTGGTGTACTCCTAGGAGATTATAATATTTTGCAGAAAAAACCTGCAGGCCTTTCCCAATGACCCAGAGATCCCAGTCTCCAAGGTTTTGTGATTTCCTGAGTGGGGAAGCACCAGAGCAGCAACCCCAGTTCCTTCTGCAGACTGATCCCAGTTGGCTGCAGTGCATCTGCATTTTCACTGCTTTTCTGTTCACTGGTCAAATCAAGGGTCAGGATGGCAGAGAAATATCTGCAAAGAAGAGAGCACATTTCTTCCTTCTGCTGCTGGAAATTCTGGCTTATTTTGGAATGCTTTTGGCTATGGCAGCACAACAGTTCCAGCTTTGTGCTATTTTGTGCCTCATGTGTTTTTTCCTTGCAGCAGGGGAAGTGGGAGGAGAGGAAAAGGATTTTCCCTGGTGTAATTGTTTGTGTCAGGTAAACTCTCCATAAATCTCTTCTTGAAGAATTCAGTTCATTAAAGCGCAATTAGACACCAATGGCTTGATTTACCTCATTAGGGCTAATTTAAATTAGCAGAAACAGCAAATTACTGTTAGGGATTTATAGCTAGAGTTTTAGTGGACTGTCGACAGACAAAGCAAAGGCTTTACTTTGAACTCACTCATATTTTTGAACATAAATACACATTAAAAGAACACTTACTAAACTTGGAGTCAAACTGAACTTGCAACAGGGAAGACATTACCAAATAAAGTAATTTATCTTTAATTCTTTTGTGTATGTGGTGTTTAGATTTTCTTGGGGAGGAGTGTGTTCAATTGGGTTTTTTTGGGGTTTTTTTCTGCTTTCAGTTTTTGTTGCTGTTGTTGCTTGTATTTGTTTGAAATATTACCACATTTTTCTTTGAGATATATTAAGTGAAAAGACTTTAAAAATGAAAATAATCTATATGAGCTTTTCCTCTCTCATAAAACCTGTAGCATTAGCATGTGTTGCATCTGCGAGCATTGCAAGAGCAGGTTTGTTCAGTTTTGGAAACAATTATATATGCAAAAGTCTGAACACACATGATAGAGAAAGGTATGGACACTATAATATACTCACAATTTCAAGAACTTTCAGAGTAAGTATTCTGAGTAAAAAATGACCCAGGAACATATCCAGCTCTTTCAGAGGCCAGGATCAATGTGAAAAGGAAATTTGGTTCTTTTCTTTGCTAAGCTGAAAGTGTTATCACTATCCCAGAAATGGCTGCTTGAGTACAGCAGGCGGGCACCTACACACATTTATGTGAGTCTATCATTCTTTGATTTGGATTCATAAAGCCAACTTGTGTTCCCAGAGGCCTGCAAGCAATCCAAAATTTTGGTATCTGACCTATACTGCTCATCCAGTCTCCCTCTCAGGTGAACAATTATGCAAGAAGACTTTTATAGGTCCCCTACAAGAGTTATGTGGTTGTCTTGTCTTTATTGCCAGATTGCATGCTACACTACTGTGCATGCTGGGGATGCGTTGCTTTAAGGCAGAAGTTAAGTTCAGCTGTCTTTTTTTTTTTTCCAGCTTACAAACAACTGTTATAGTACAATATTTCAGAGGGTTTACTAGAGGTAAAATGTCAAGATTTTTAGTAGTCATTGGTATTGGGTTTGCATGGTCAGGTTTTGGTAGTGGGGTTGCACAGGGGTGGCTTCTGTAAGAAGTTGCCAGAAGCTTCCTCATGTTCAGCAGAGCCAATGCCAGCTGGGTCCAGGATGGCCAGGCTGCTGGCCAAGGCTAGGCCAACCAGAAATGGTAGGAACACCTCTGTGATAGGAGATTTAAGAAAAAGAAAAAATTATTTTACAGATGTAATAGCAGCCAGAGAAGAGCAAGGTGACAATACATGAGTGGAGCAGCTCTGCAGACACTGCAGCCAGTGGAGAAGGGGGGAAGAAGGTGTTCCTGCTGCTGGATCTGAGATTTCCCTGCAGCCCATGGTGCAGATTGTGCTGAGGCAGCTGTGCCCCTGCAGCCCATGGAGGTCATTGGGAGGGCAGAGATCCACCTGCAGCCTGTGGAGGGGACCCGTGTTGGAGGGTGTGGGTACCAGGCAGGAGACTATGAACGTATGGGAAGCCCAAGCTGGAGCAGGGTGCTGGCAGGAACCTGCAGATCCATGGAGAGAGGAGCCCACACTGCAGCAGGTTTCCTGGTAGGACTTGTGATCCCATGGGGTACCCACGCTGGAGCAGCCTGTGCCTGAAGAGCTGCACCCCAAGGAAGAGTGACCCATGTTGGAGCAGTTTGGGGAGGACTGCTGCCTGTGGGACTCATGCTGGAGAAGTTCAGGAAGAACAGTCTCCTGTGGGAGGGACCCCATGCTGGGGCAGGGGAAAAACTCCTTTGCCTGAGCAGCAGCAGGAACAACGAGTGACAACGATGAACTGACCATAACCTCCATTCCCTGTCTCTCTGTACTGCTGAGGGGGATCAGGTTGAGCTGGGAAGAGGAAGTGGTAGGGGAAGGTGATTTGAAGATCCTATTTTACTTGTCATTATCATGCTGTGATTTTGTTAGGATTAAATTCAATTAAGAGCTCTAATTCAAGTCTGCTTTGCGTGTGATGGTATTCAGTGAGTGATCTCTCCCTGTCCTTAACTCATGAGCCCTTTCTTACATTTTCTCTCCCCTGTCCAGCTGTGGAGGGAAGGGTTAAGAGGCTTTGGTGGGTGTCTGGCATCCAGCCAGAGTCAACCCACTGTCATGCACCACACTGCAAAAGCTGTACTAAACTACAACATGGGTACAAATTGTGTGTGTGTGTTTGTGTATACAGGCTATATATATATATATATATATATATAATACCCCATTTGACAAACAAAGGCTGCAGTAGTACATCCTCTGATGTATGCAAAAGGTCTTCCCTGTGAACAGCCAATCTCAGGAATTATTTCTACCCCAGATTTATGTTCACCCATCTAAGGCTGCATGTACTTAAGATAAAAATACTCAGATAACATTTGTGCTTTTTCAGCCCAAGACTCTTAGAGGAGGAGGGACAGGCTGTTGAGCATTTGAACTCAAATATTGTAATTGAAGTTGGTAATAAAGTTTTAGATATAGCAGAAAAATGGTAAGTTTGGATCACAGTTTTCTCTTGTACTGAAGATATTGCAAAGATGTGCCCTATCAGGAAGGGTTTCTGCTAAAAACATCAGTTCTCTGCAGTTAAACACTTAGGCTACAGACTGGGAGCTCATCAAAGCCATTGAACCATGTCAGACAAATCAAAAAAGGGAGGTATGCATTCAGCAGTCAAGAACAAACACAAACATTGTAACAAAAATATTTATCCATCCCAAATGGAAAGTTATTTCTGATATTCTGAAGAGCTAAAGCATTAATGGCAAGAGAAGATAAAACATAACTGCTTCCTCAAGGTCACCAAAAGTTCTGTTGGAGGCTTATAGTTGTGCCTTAGCAACAGAGATAAATCATAACCTTCTACTTTTGGAAATTCATCTTCAAAATACCCATAGTTGCCACAGCTCTCTGTTCCCATTGCTCTCTCTGACCCATCTCAGAGTGCTTGAATGGAAATGGGATGCTGAGAAAAGAATGTGTCCCAGATCTGGAAGCTTTGTACTTTTTTAATCTTCCTTCTCTGATTTTCCTAACAGTCATTGCTAAAAAATGCCTATCTCTTCTATGCCGCAGATTACTTTGCTTTTGAAAGCAGTGTTAAAATCTAATTGTTACAGGTAAAGTTTTCTCTGGTGATGTTCATGGGAGAAATTTGGAGATCATTTTACACAGAAACCCAGAAAATTGTGATTACAAATTAAGTCACATGATGCCAGTTCTCTCAATTAAACTGAATTTTCACTTCTCACACTAGAAGACTTACTATGTGAAAATTTGCACATGCCAGCTAAGGGGAATTTTTTTCAGGAGCAGTGCAGAACACCCTTTCTCTATCACTGCCTGGACTGTGAATGAGCCTACATTTACCCCAAAGTTAAAATCAACAATTAAATTTTAATGCTCTTAACAGTGTGGTCTGGCGAGCAGCTGAGCTGGTCTAAGAGTCTGCTGCTGCCAGAAGGCAGTACCTTCACCTTGTTGTCCCTTCTCTTCCCACATTTCTCCCCCAGGCTCATCCCCTCTTGAGAGCTGCAGCCCCCCTGCAAACCAGCCACAGTCCGAGCAAGAAGGGAAAGCAGAAACTGAGCAACTGCCTCAACATAACTCATTAATCTGGCAGAAAAGAGCAGACCAAAATTCTGATCTCTCAAATGCCAGCCCCTTTAACAAGTCTGCTCTGTGCCTTGTTTAAACAGTCCTGGATAGGTCAGCATGGGAAAACAGGAAGAGGTAAAGTAAGCAGAAGGCTTCTTTTTCCCTCCTTCAGGAAAACAATGTGGCCAAATCAAAGGAACTGATTTTCTGCTTATATTTAGAGGAAGGCATTGACAGATAGAGATCATGCTTCAGTTTGACAAGTGATACCAAATAATACCTGATTTATGTAAGTCCCAGGGGAGTGTAGCAACTCCATTTTTATCCTGATTTTGGAAGGGATGAGACTCCTGCAGCTGTGATGTCCATCTGGCTCTCCCCACCATACCCAACCACTTTTGAACCCACTGGCCAGCTTCAACTCAATGTTCATGAAAAGCCATTTCTAAACAGAGGAGAAAGAAACACAGATTATTAGTCTAAGAAAAACAAGGCTGCAGTCTGTGGTTATTCAGGAAGCAGAGGAGAGAGATCATGGTACTATGGGAGATTTAGGAGACACAGGCAATTTAATGATACTGAAGCAAAGAGTAAATTGAGCTCAGGCTATATCACAGGAAACAATACCATGAGAATCCAGGTTTGTTAATTCTGTTCTTTCTTTCATGGATGAAAAAGTGTCTTTGTGGAGGTTTTGAAACAGCATCAAGTGTTTGAATCTTTCTGTTCAAAATCTTGTCTTCTGTGTGATCTTTTGCTTTCAAAGAGGCAGTAGATCCTATGTTTATGTCTTTTGTAGATGGAGATCTTACACAGAAATAATTGATCAATGCATTTATATGATTTTGAGTCTCACATGTGCAGTTTTCCAAAACAAAAAATAAATGCACATACCCGCAACAACATCTGTATTTATTTTGGCTTTTCAAAGTGAAGTTCTGCAACTTTCTACCAGTGTGTTTCTAATTGCTTAAGTAAATGCAACATCATATCCAAAATTTGAAATGAGACACCACAGTGCCTTTCCTAATTAGGAAGAGATGCTTCTGCTAATTTTTTTCCCATGAATCAGAGGCAATGCAATAACATTCCTGAGCAATGGGACAAGTTCAGAAGAAAGCCTATGGTCACAGGCAGTTGCACATCCTGTCCTTTGGAAATCAATGAGCAAGGTATCCTTAAAACAGCCTTAACATTTTTGAGTTCATTCAGAAATAATGCTGACTAACATTCCTCCGTGATTGAAGTCCAGAAAAGTTCAGGTAAAGAAAGTCAATTGGTTAAATCAATGTCATAAATTTTATTAAGTAAAGTTTTTATGCCTGGAAGAGCAGTGGAACCCCAGTGGAACCTCAGTCAGCTGCTCTGGCTGGAGGGATTCAGGGTTTAAACAAACCTGCCCACAGGAGCCAAATTCTCCTTGTTTTCCAACAGCTGCATCATAACAAACTGAGGACTGAGGCATTTCAGCAAGATCAAGCAGTTTCACTTTTGGAAAGAGTGACAGAATGCTTTGGTATATAAAACGGGCTGCATGCGGGATATCCCACCTGGACTGTTCATCTGTCCTATACCATGCAGACTAGCCAACAATAAACAAAAAAAAAGAGGTCTGAGGGAAGCCATTTGCCTCCAGTACTTGATAAATTAGTGCAAATTGATAGCTGATACGTGATGAACTGAAAAGTCAGAGCTGAACATTTGTATTTCTTGTGCAGAGGTATGCAGGAGCAGAGTGCCTCAGCATCAATCAAGAGAAGAAAAGGAAAATGGTCCAAGATGGCTCTTGACCAAACAGACATGCAAAGGCCTTGCAAGCTTTCCTGGGGAGCTTGGAACACTGCCTCATGTATTCCAGATGTAACCTACAAGGCTCATTTGTTCTGATGATGGCTAGATAGGGATATTTCATACAAAGGTCTCAAATGGTAAGTGACTGGTGCTTAAAAATGGCCATCACACAAGCACTGTTCATATCAGTGAGCAGGAGATCTGGGATCAAACTTCACAAACTTTTACCTCTGGCTCCATAAAGCATGAGAACATGACACCAAGAATGGCACAGGATAACTTTTCTTGGTCACCACGTTGAGTTTAGCAACAGCTCCTAACAATTTTCCTCTGTAATTTACCCAATGCTAACTTCTCCAGCTCTAGGTTTTTTAATCTATGAAATGAAGAGTTCTAAACATCACTCAAGTTCTGCAAGACCTGGTTTGTTGGTGTTTATGAATTTGCTCTGGTGTGCAAAAATATACACATCATGAGACTGTATCGGGGTAGCAGACTTTCTGAACAGGAAAAACTGTGCTGAGATCCTCTTGGGATAAGTAATAATTATTATCCAGGCACCAGTATTTAGCATCAGAAGATTGATGGGTGATCTTGCAGAACTGCATTGCCACTTTCTGCACATAAAATTGTAGTTTTGTGAAAATTAAATGTATGCTGTATGACAGCATAGAGAAATGTTCTTGTGTTTGGTGGATTTTTAGATTAACTGCAATTTTTTTTAACTTTATGAGGTTTCTTCCCCTTCAGGATTGATTGTTATCACTTTCAAAAACACAGAATGTCTGAGAAGACAGCTCATAGGTAAGTGCAATATAATTAGCAGAATCAATCAAGGCAAACAAGTATAACAAAACTTAGTAAAACCAGCAGCAATAGCTAGTGTGTTAACATCCTTCTTCACATCAGCTCCTAATAAAAAATCACACAATGACTATACATCTCGAATAGGAGACTTTACAAATTGAATTTATTTACCAAATTCACGTGAAAAGACTCTTAAATTTTGCATATCAAGGTGGAATACTGATGATGAAAGAATAAAAAAAAGCAGAAGCTTCATTGAAAAAGGCAAGAATTTTTAATTTATTTCAGTGATCTAAATGCTAATTATAGTGGAATTATTCCCACTGCTACAGAAATTCTTAAACATGCAAAACATATATACTACTTACAGCTATTTTTCTAAAATACCTCTACCATAAGACTTCTGTCAACTGAAAAAGGCAGTTTTGGGAGAATAAGTAAAAGGTTGTATTTGTCTCATGATCATATAAGCATAACGGAAAGTGATTTTTTTCTTTTAACTGCAAAATAAAAGTCAGTGTTTCAAGATAAGATGATGCTAAGGTTGGTGCATGCCATCTACATCTTCAAAAGTCTATCCTGGAGAAAAAAAATAACTCTATCACAACCCTGACTCATGGATTGCTTCTGAAAGTAGTCACCTGAAATGATGAATGATTCTAAGCTATGATTTTTGCTTTAATTTGTCCTAATAGGAAATATCAAGAAGGGTGGATGACCCAACAATGCACTCTCAGTCCAAAAAGTCAGATGTACCCTGGGCTGCATCCAAAGCAGTGTGGCCTGCAGATTCAGAGTGGGGATTCTGCTCCCTCTGCTCCCCTCTCATGAGACCCCACCTGGAGCACTGCATCCAGCTCTGGGGTCCCCAGCTGTCCCCAGAACAGAATCTGTGTTCCACCACATGGACCTGTTGGAGCAAGTCCAGAAGAGCCAAAAAGATGATTAAAGAAATTGAGCATCTCTCCTATGAGGACTGAGAGAATTGGGATTGTTAGGCCTGCAGAAGAGAAGGCTTTGGGATGTGTTAATTATGGCCTTCCAGTACCTGAAGTGGGCCTATGAGAAAGATAGAGAGAGACTATTTACAAAAGAAAATAGTGATAAGACAAGGGAAATGACTTTCAACTGAAGATGGTAGGTCTAGATAGGATATTAAGAAATTCTTTACTATGAACATGGTGAGACACTGGAACAGGTTGCCCAGAGAAGCTTTGGGTGCCCCATCCATGGAAGTGCTTAAGAAAAGGTTGGATGGGTCTCTGAGCAATCAGATTGAGTGGGAGGTGTCCCTATCCATGGCAAGGGGGCTGGAATAAGGGGATCTTTACAGTCTCTTCCAACTGTAACCATTCTATGATTCTATGGTTAAACTAGATGTTATTTATATTTTGACTACAAGTATTCAAGCATTCTTTTTCAGCTGAACATTGGCAGTGGAACTTTTTGGATATGAAAATATTTGAATTATGTAATGAAATGTGGAGGGGTGTTATTTATAGCAAATAACCACTTGAATATTATTTCTTATGATTTTGCTTATGAATAATTTCTTTGGTTGATAGAGACATGGCTTTTTCAGCAAGTCATATGATGACAACAATGTGATAGATAATTTATAGATAATTCTGTATAGAGGTGTTTGTGGGAAGGAATAGAAGGAGCAAAAGAAGTACGATGAATAATAAATGAAAAAGAAATAATATTCATGCACTATCTTGCACTAAAAAAAATAATTATAATTTCCTCTGCATTTCCAGCCCCTTCTGGGAATAAGCATTTATGTCTTGAACAACTGAACTAAAAGATTGAATAACTGGGGTACAATTTTTAGTGTTTTGAACAAGTTAAACCTCTACATTCCATTCTTTTCTGTACAAGAAGTGACTAAAATAAGGGAAAGCAGTTGGATTTTTGGATTTCATTGTGCTAATTAGGCTCAGAAATATTAGGACCTGGATACTAGGGTGAAGCTGCAATTAACTGAGATTTAATGAGCTGTGTAATGATGAGTGGCAGGGCTATGTAACTTTACAGCCATAATTTCCTGATTAGATGAACTCCTAAACACTGCAATCCTGTGTCCTACCCCAAGGCATGTTGACCCTTCTAGCTGGCCAGAAGAGAAACAAACTTTTTTTGCAAAAAAAAACCTGCAAAGTTCTTAGGACCTACACAGTATTTTAGCAACAGGAAATTCCTATAGTTTCAGAGCAATTTCTCACTCTGATCAGAGCAAGCATCATTTTCCATGCTAATCTAAACATTTTTTTCTGCTTCTTTTAATCTAGTTTATGTGTCTAGGAGTGTTTGTCTGATGACAAGAGGATCCCCTGAAGTAGCCACGGTTGGATAGGATATCAAGGGCATCCAATATCCACATCAAACACAGTTTGGGTGACGGAGAGGATGCACAAAGAAAGCCCCTAATAAAACACCTCATAAAAGAGGGCCAGAAATGCAAACCCAGAAAGAAAGCAAATCCCAGCTTTAGAAGAACTCTGTTTGTAACTTTCATGAACATCAAGGGAAAAGTCTGCTAGATAAACCATGGGTCTGAGAATCAAGTGACTTGTAACCATTAATTGCTTCTGACTGTCTAGTACTTTTGGCAAATTCTCTCAAATTCTCAAATTCTACAAATTCTCTCTACCAATGTTAACATGGGGAATATTACTGATAAAAATTATTTGAAGATGACAAAGTCCTCAGTCCCTGTGGGAGACACTAATATATTTCTCATGCTTTCAAAACCCAATAAAGGCAAGATTTAAAAGAAAATTTTAAACTTACCAGGATAGAAAAAGTGTTACATGTGTCATACCTCTATAATCACTTAGACTTTTT